CCGGTTAGCTTCTTAGCTTAGCTTCCTTCCCATACGTCACGGCAAAACATTAGCTATTGGGTAAATTTTAGTTTTAAACTTCAACAGAGTCCACGCCTCCAGCAAGAAATCACTTCTCACTAGCTGTGAGTCCAGACCCTCTGGATGAAGCAAAGCATAGGACAAAGTGTTCTAGTGTTTTAAAATCACAGGACGAAGATCTTAGGCAAATAAAACCGTTTCTTATTAAACAACTAGAACAAATTGAAACAATGTAACATAATCAAAATAATAAAATAATGTCCCTAGTTACCTTCTACTAATTGTTCAAGAAAAAAGTTACTAGTGCAAAATATAAAAGCAAAAATGTAACAAAAATGTCAATAAAACAACAAAAAATAATTTCCATTGCACACAGGAACAAGGAACAGGACTAACGAGTAGCTCCAAACAATTCAGAGTCTCTGCTCTATTGACTATTTTTCCCTTTGTTTGTGAAAAACACAAAGTCAGTATAGTGCAAATAAAGTGTAAACAAAAGAATCGATCTCATCACGCTGGTTTCGATCCGATACCGATYCTCATCTTAGATCGATGCACCCAGCCCTGCCAGGATGGGTCATAACAGAAACGGTAACTTTAAGGATCTACCCCCTTCTTTCATCATTTCATTAGGTTTGTCACACATATCTTTGTTTATAAGCTGCAGTTGTGACAGCTCAAGATGGCAGACGTCTCAGTTTAGACAATCCCCTTATGTGTAGTCAACCCTGCGTCTCAGCAAAGCCTCCAGTGTCCTTGCTCCTGAATCAGACTCACTGATGTGGAACTCAGCTGGCTGAGATGCTGGAGGGCATGGGGAGAAGGGATTTGCTCCTCGGCTAAGTCTTCTCTCTCTGCAGATTCCTACTGGGCCAAGAGAGGAGATTTAAACTCACATATACACTTTCGATTGCACTGGTGCACGCACACACACTCAAATGTAGTTTTCCTATCTTTCGGGGGACCTGACACCAACATAATTTATTCCCCAACTTCCCACTCTTAACCGAGATCACAAAACATGTAAGATTTATTTCACTATTCTAATTCATGTAAACTGTAAAGCAAGATGAAACTCTTTGTTACGTAGAAATGAAAAAAAAAAGCACAAATATGTCTTAGTAAAGAATATTACTAATAAGGAACTCACAAATATCTCAARAGTTTTGTACCATGAACAAATAAACCTATAGAAAGACTAAAATAACAAACAAACCTTCAAATTTTTGGAGAGGAGATAAATACTAAGAACAAAATAAACTAAATTCTTTTGTCTTCTCTTTTGACTGATATCATTAGTAGGATGCTCTGAGGCCATGCGGGAAAACCAACAAAATGCATAAACCATCCTGCTTTTAAATTCTTTTTCCCCCACAGTTAAATTGTTCAGTTGGGGTCTAAAAAATATGAGAGAGAAAGAAAATAAAGATATCTTTGCAGCACTGGGAGAAACTAAATTAAACTTTTCTGCACTCCTGTCCACTTTAAGGGTCATCATGTGAACTTCTTTGAACATCTGGTATCTGAAGAATAATCCCACCTCCAGGGTCTTTGTGAGATCTTCTTGGTCCTCCAGTATAGAATGAAARCAGCTTTTTATAACACAACTGAGTCATAAATACCTTTAAAGTAATCTCATCTGCTTCACTTTTGTATCATTCTACACTGAAGCATTGAAAACATTATACACAATTATTGCTTTAACAGTCATTGAATGACTTTAACCTCTACAAAGGTGAACGTGTGAAGAAATGAACCAATGATCCAAATCAGCTTTTTATCTTTGTACAGTAAATTCTCTGGTTTTGAATCAGGGTTTGTTATCAAGCCAGTATCTCAAGGCGAACAAAAGTTTTCAGATCTACAATTWTTAACTTCTCTGGTTAGATACAGGAAACTTGTGTCACAGTGACGAATAGTAACAACCAGGACAAAGCTTACATAAAGAGGTAAACTTATATAAAAGTGAGCTTTTTCAGAAATTAACAACTTTATAAACAACCAGTYTCTGTTTCATGTGATGCAACTTATTCTTAGTAATAGATCACTGACTTAATGAGTGTAAAATACACAAGTGCATTATTTCTGATGAATAAAAATCTGTTAGACTTATCAGTATTTTTGCATAATTTGAAAAACTTTTTACGATCTCTGGACGTGTATTAGCACAGGCAGCGGGGGGCTAAAAGGGTTGCCCCTCACCCTCCTGTGGTGGATGAAAGATATTAAAACTTCATTTTTACACAAACAGCAGCAAAGCAGAGACGCTAACAAATCCAGTCTCAGAGGATCTGCTGCTACAGGAAGTTCAACCGGGAGCAGTTTAAAACTCCCATGAGCCTTTGCTTTAAAATTAAGACAATAACTGGAGGGGTTATTCATGATCAAGCTATTGATTTTTACCAAGCGTGAACCATTTCAGCAGATAATTATTGTAGTGTTACACAGTTTCAGTAACGGTTTTGTTGAGAAGGTTTCTTAAATACCAGCAATTTGTTGTCTCCAACATGAAAGTTCCTCTGGGAACGAGTGATATTTCACCAGCATTCAACATACATGTAATCKTGTGAAAGGCCATAGATGGGTTTATATTGCCACTGGCAAATCTGTTGAACTGTGTATCAGTGTGTGAAAGTAATTACTGCTTTTATCCATATCCCCCGTGGAAAAATTGGTCATCTGAATATATTGCAGTTATTTGCCCACAACATTCTTGATGCAGTCATGAGTTTTGGACCAAATTGTTATAGTCCGGGCCACAAAATAAATAGAAAACCAAGAACATATTCACTATTCTAACATAAAGTTTATTCACARCTCACTAACTTAGTCCCCATAAGAACTCCTGGTAAACTAAAAGCACTAAAGTTAGTTTTTAATCCAGAAAAAGTCCCATTAACTTAACAAAAGTGTGTAAAAGTGCACAGCACACACACATCTGTTTTCCTGCCATCAATCTCCTATCTCCACCCCGGTTGTTTTGAAAGTGATAAATTCAGCCATTTAATGTCTATAATTAATAATTTATTACACGCAGCGCGCCACAGATTAGGTAGTATTTTATCTAGGTGATAGTTGAACCCTCCAAGGTCGTTGCAAATGTTTTTCATTATCCTTTGAGTGAATTTCGACGCAGCCGCTCAGGAACGTTTCTCTCTTTTGAATCACCCCTGAGAAGAAACTAAAAAGGAAACCTCTCGAGCAAACTGGAGTGATGCTTGTTTACTATGGTTTTTGTCTAATTGTGTCATGTGTGAGAGAAGTGCCATATGGTTTCAAARGCAGTGGGTGAAGCTCCAAATCACAGAGGAATAAATAGCATCTCTGAAAGGTGTTAAAGAGTGAAATCCCACGCTGCAAATAAAGAAGTGTTGAGCCTCCGCCCCCAATAGTTAGCACTTTGCACAATGACTAATCTATTAAAGTTTTTTTTCCATTTATGAAAACAATCTTCAAGGAAATTAGCACCTAGAAACACAGCTGCAAGAACATTTTCCRTCTTTGCAAAGTCACCAGGCTAAAGTTAAACTTACTGCTGTTTTCCAATAAAAGGAGACAGAAAAGGGCTTTCTTGATGTGGAAAACTGGCCGCGTGGACGTATTTTTCTTTTCTGGTCTTTGTGGTAAATAAATGTAAGTGAACCAAGTTATCTTGCTGTCATCCCCCTCCCCACGCCTGTCTCTCCCCTCTCTCTGTGTGTCTCTGAAATGCACACATACTCCCTTGCACAAAGGAGGGAAAGTGTCACTATGGAAACAAGGAGGCAAGATTCTAAAAGCTACCTCTTGAGACGAGAGTTAAGACAACAAAAGGAGTCCACTGTGTGAGTGGCAGGGAAAAGCGGCAACACACACGGCATCGATACACTTCTCCCTTCTGTTCTGAGGCTGTGTGTACCATCATCAAGCTGCCTTCTCAGTCTTTTCTCACTATTATCCTGCTGTTTGTGCCTTTTACCAGTCTGTATACTTAACATGTGAAATTGTTTTTTTACTCTGCCCGCTTTTGTGTTTCGTTCTGTTCCTGCAGCTGACTCCATGTGCCTCTGTGTGTGTGTGTGTGTGTGGCTTAGGTGTAATATGCGCCACACATTTCTTTAATAGGGCTAATCCATTTTAATCCCACCTGCCACAGTTACCTTACAATGATGAATGTAAGCCTAAATGAGTTGAGACGCAGAGAAATGCCCGTGGGAGACAGAGGAGGAGGCTGGGAGGTGGATTTAAAGTCTCTATATGTGTGTTTTTGTCTCACCGTGCAGTGTGTGTGTGTGTGTGTGTGTGTGTGTGTGTGTGTGTGTGTGTGTGTGCGTGTGAGTTTGTGTTTTCTGCAGTGGCTGGATCAGTTTTTTTTCTCCCCTCCCTGCTCTGCTGAAGGCTATTTTCTGTGGGGTCTGCGGGGTCACCGCTGTCCTCAGTGATGTCTCCTTCAGCTGTAATCAGCACCATGGACAGCAACAACAATCTCCCACCGTCGCCGGCTCCACGGCAGGCATCCATCTCAATACACTTAAAAGTGGCTCCCCGTGCTTTGCCTCTTTTCTCTCTCATTCTGGCTGATTGAAAAGAATTGGACTGGTGAGAGCGGGCTGCCCATTAGGCTTCGTGTGCTCCTTGATCTTTACCAGGGACTGGGGATGAGGAGAGGAGGATGAAGTGCAGAAACCAATTGGTAGGCAACAACTTCTATTAATAAAACCCTCCAATGTAAAGCTCCTGGTGGGGTGAAACAGAACACAAACACAGGTTGATATTAATAGTAAAGCCTCTGTTGAGGACTTTTTCTTTCCTCTTTAGAGAACCACTTTCACTTGCTTTAAAAATAACAGGAAGCAACAAAACGAGATAAACTAAAAGAGTAAGAGAGAGAGATAGGAGGAGTATACTGTACAGAGTGAGGCTGAGAGAGTGTGAGGGAGGGATGGGGAGAGTGAAACACACACACACACTCACACACACACACATGGAAGGAGCAGATAGCGGGAGGGGAAAACCTCCTCTCTGAAAGGGATGATGTCAGTCTCTGCAGCTGAGCCCCAGTTCCCCGACTCGTCAGGACGAAGACTCGCTCCTCCTGAAAGCCAGCGGCAGGCGCGAGGCTGCTCCATGAAGAGGGGCGGCGGGCAAACTTAGAGAGGCGGGGTGCTGGGGGAGATCCTGGCGACCGAATCCCTGCAGGTACGTATGTTATCACCCATCTCTGACTTCATTCTTAGGCGTCTTTTGTTGCGTGCCGCCTGCCATTACGCTTCAACCTGCTGCCAGCAGCTCATCTTTTCTCTTTTTCTTTTATTTTTTTCCCTCTTTTCAAGGTTTATCATCTTTTCCCAGCGTGTCACACTGTGTTTAGTGCAGCTCAGTTCTGGTGTGAATTTGTGAGGGTGTGTATAATTTCTCAGGGGTGTGGATGGAAGGAGTGTTCCCCCTTTGAAGAGGCACACACATACACACACACACACACACACATACACACACATGCAGATTGGTGGAAAGTTTCTAACAAAAGCAAAAACTGTTTTTTCAAGTCCCCCAGGGAGGCAAACATTTTCTAATATTCAAATCAGGTGGAGGATRCCCAAAGCAGAGGGCATGTCAGAGGTTTATGATTAAATATTGACATAAAAAAGCTTATTTTGAATCTGATGAGCCGGTGTTGGAGAGCTTTTCCTCTGTTTGCGTAAAGGATTGACTTGTTTAAAGCAGAGTCTGCTGGGATGCTGGTGGTCAGGAAACGTGGTGAGTCATCCTGTAACATCTGGCACTGACACCTCTGGTTCCCCACTTTACAGCGCAGTTTTGATTATAAGATAATGTTACAGTCCAATTAATGCACCCAATCACGCAGGCTTCAGAGGGAAATTGATTTTCTGTTGCTGAGATTAGTTGTGAATGTCACAGACGAGCCGGGCGACAAAACGTGTGCCGGGGTCACATTCAATACCCAAACAGTAAGAGGCGACGCTGACAAAGGCTGAAATCTGTCTTTGTATTGGAGAATCCTGCACAGCTAACAGTCTCTCTCTGTGTGTGTGTGTGTGTGTGTGTGTGTGTGTGTG